CCATCTACCCAAGCACTGCCTGCCTAATCCAACACCAGGAATCAGCAACCAGGCTCTTCAGCCTGGAAAAGTGCAGGCTCAGGGGTGACTTGATGGCAGCCTATAAGTACATCAGGGGTGTGCATCAGGATCTTGGGGAACACCTGTTCACCAGAGCACTCCAAGGGATGACAAGGTCCAATGGTCACAAGCTCCTGGAAGACTTTTTCAGGGTGGACATAAGGAAAAACTTCCTTACTGACTGTGTCTCCAGAGCCTGGAATACCTTCCCTTGAGGTGGTGCAAACACCTACTCTGGACACTTTTAAGAAACATTTGGATACCTATCTTGCTGGGATCCTTTGACCCTAGCTGAATTCCTGCCGCTTGAGCAGGGGGCTGGACGTGATGATCTTCGAGGTCCCTTCCAGCCCTAATGTCTATGAAATCTATTTTCCAAGGGGTGCCTTGAGTCTAACAAGGTTAAGAACCACTGCCATAAGCCAAGTAGGAAATGACTTAATTGATTTCAGCCGAGTCCCATGGATATAAATCTAAGGATTTGGCTTCTGAGAGTCTACAGCTCTTCTTGTTTATGCTGTTTCCCATATGGAGTAAATCCCTTGAAGCCCATAGAGTCACACTGGGGTAAAGTTAATAGAGGCAAAAGGAGAAATCAAGTTTTTGGTTTTTGCAGCTTGAGGGCTTTTGCAACTTCAGCCCATTACCACCTGGGATGGACAGGCCCAAGGCTGCTGAAGGTCAAAGTGAGATTAAAAGATCGAGGGGTAAGTGTAGCACTCCTTTGCCTTCCATCTCCAACACATACCAGCACTGAGCTAGACCCCCTGAACTCTCCAGAGTAACAGCCCCTAACAGCAGCTCCAAAGCATTTAATAATATAAAAGACAAACACAAAAAGGGCCAGTGAAGCCAGACCCGAGCTGGAACAGAGCCAAAGCAGGGCTCTCTCTGCGCTGCCTGAGGAGTGAAATTCATTCCTGGCAGCTGAGAAGGCAAACACATTAATATATTAAAGAAAAGCCTGATGAAAACGTCAGGGTGCCCTGTGGCCTGAATTGGATACCACTGCCACGCCAGCAGCAGCTGCCATTGTGCACAGTGACCACCGGCCTGACAGATCCGTTACCCCCCGGCTGGGGCTTGAGCACACAGCTGACGTTCCCGGGTTGTTTACAGACAAAAGGTGCAAGGCCGGTCCTCAGCTAGAGCACAGCTACATGGGCCCATTGGCTTTGCTACAGCAGTTCTGATTTACCCCAGGTGAGGTGGCCTACAGAATCACGATCTCTAAGGTGCAATCAGGGAAGCTGCTCCAGCTTTACCCCCACAGGCAAGGATTTGCCTAGAGTGCAGGTGTACCCACAGAGGCCCAGAAATACACTGGGCAAGGCCCTATGCTGCTACAAGTGGGCACAGCTCTGTTAGTGCAGCCATGCTACTTTACACACTGACTGCAGATCTGTATCAATGTCAGAAAGCCATTCTTTAAGTTAAACCCAATTGTTTCACATGGAGCGGCAGAAGGAAGGACTGGGATCTTTTCTTTAGGTCCAGAGTCCAGACTGCCATGGTAGCAGAAGGAAACCACTGCTGCAGCAGCACAAAACTGTCAGACTTTATCTATTCCCCTCTGAATGAAGAGCCACTGGACCAGATTCTGGTCTTGCGCTGCCATTACATTGGCAGCAGGTCTGTTGTGTTCAGCAAGGTGTAGCTTGGTGTAAGCAGACCCATCACTGAGTATGAGCCCTTCACAACACCCCCCTGAGACAGGACAGGGCTGTCACTTTGTCACAGATAGGAAACGAAGGTCCAGTGAAACTACTTGAATTTCCCATGGTCACATAGGAAGTCTGTTGCACAGCAAGGAACTGAGCCCAGATCTCCCACTTCGGGCCCCCCCCCCCTGCTCTGACCACTGGACCACCCTTCCTCAGAGTCGGGCTCAGGTATTAGAAGGGGGGGCTTCTGGGATTGCTCCACCATCTCCTTCCAACCCATGCCCATGCTCTGCAGCTGCTTCATCATCTCAGGGAGGAATAGTGCTGCCATCCTGAGGCGTGGAAGAAGCAGGACTCAAGTCCACCCTGTGGCAGCCCAACATATGACTCCAGAGGGCCTGGGTGAGCAACAGCCATCACCCAAAGGGAGGTCAGACCATCAACCTCAAAATGATGCACATCTACTAGCAACATGGACTGGCTGCTTCTGGGCCCAGGCAGCTTTTATGTGAGGCACTGCGCTAGCCCGTGGCTCCATAACTGTTCTTTCAGGCTCAGAAACACTTCTGCACTCTCTAAGGAGGCAACTGGCCCATCAAACCCATAGCTTTGGCCAGATCTCAAATCCTTTTGCTCCACCAGTCTAGTTGGCGATGCCCACTCACCATCTAGAGGGGCAGAGATGTTGCACCGTCATTTAGCCAGGCTCTGCAAAATATAAATCTGACCAGAATTTGGCTGCAAAGTTAAAGAAAAAGAAAGAAAGAAAAGAACCACCACTTCCACTGTAGGGCTGGTCCCAAGAGGACTGCACTGAGCAGCAGGTGAAAGGACCTTTTGCCTTGTCTTGTTTTTACAAACAGGGAAACTGAGGCACAAGAGGGGGAAGCAACTTGCTGAAGGTCACCTGGCAGGGGGGGTGAGTGCTAGGGACAAAACACACTTCTCCTACTTCCCAGCCCTGTGCCCCAGTCACTTCACCTCTCCGCCTCCTTGGGAACTGCTCAGCCTACCCAGTCCCCATCATGATCAATGCAGGCTGGGGGCAGGTCATTTTTAAGATGTTCTTTCTTTCACCCCGATCCTTCCCTCACCCATACCCATACCCATACCCATCAGGAGCAGGGTGGTGACTTACAGACGGAAAGCAAGCATCCAAATCAAGCCCTTAGAAATGCAAAAGTTCCATGTCTTTCCTGATTTATTTCTGTCCTTTTTTCCATTGCGATTGTTGGGGTTTTTTCTTTTTTTCTGGCAGCCTCCAAGTCGCAGTGCCCTGAAGGCTGACTCCTGAACACAAACAAGCTTCAGGAAAGCTGTCCCAGCCCAGCTGAGATGAAGCATTTAAAAGGGGAAGGTGTTTAACAAAAGTGCCCCTGGGGCAAGAAGCAACATCTTGCTTGTTTTGTTTACTGGCTGCTTTCCATCACCTCTGCAACTGCCACCCACCCAGACCATCCCTCTGCAAAACGTCTAGTCCTTGGGAGAGGAAATGGTCACTTGATGAAGGAAATCAAGATTGAGACAGGAAGCAAGAACAGCCTCTTTTGGATCTGTTATGATTTCTTTGATTTTGAGCCAGCATCTGCAAAACTGAACCCACATGAGGAATAGAAAGGTGCTGAAGTAGGTTGTTCCTACTTTCTAGAGCCACCGAACATGCCGGCAGAGGAGGGGTGTGTCTGTGCACTGGGCGAGAGCCCACAGCATGTACTTCCACTGGAAAAGGCTGCACGTGAGACAGTAACACTAGGAGCCTAGCGCACGCTTATAGCCCCAAGACCACACCAGACAATGGGCAAGAAGAGAGGAGGTGTCAAGCCTGTCAGAGAATTGCGGTAGAGCAAGATCTAGGCGGGAGAGGATGGACTAGCTCCGAGGGGCTGCCTGCAATGGGGGGTGTGTCTGGGAAGCAGTACCCCTTCCCACACGTGTTTCTAGGAGCTGGGGGGCAGCATGAGCGGGTGAAGGAGAGGGGCACTAGGTGAACCACGCTTAGGCGCGCCTGCATCGGGGGGCTGGCGCTTACTGTGCCCGTGTGGCGGGCTGGGAGAGCCCCTTTCCTGTGCCCAGACCGAGCTCCAGCCTCGCTGGATACGATACGGAGCTACAGATACTGGTGGCAAAAAGCAGAGAGCCGGGCAGCTCGGACAAAGCCCCTTCCCACCGCCTCCAGGGACGATCTGGTACTCACATGTCCTTAGCGGGCAAATTCTTCCCTTCAACTATGCGGATGAACAAAGAGCTCCTCTTGGCCATGGCAGGAGGGCAGCCGCTCTGCGGCCAGACCCGAGCCGGTCCCGCCTGGGCGGCAGGTGAAGGCGGACGGGGGGATGCTGCGGCGGGGGAAGCCCGCGGAGCGAGGAGGGGCCGGGCGCTGCGGGGAGCTCCGCGGCTCACTTCATTCAGCTTGTGTGGGAGCGGGGGCCCGCCCCCGCCAATCAGAGAGCTCAGAGCGCGGGAGGGGCGTGGCCCGGGTGTGCCCTCCAGCTGCGATTGGGCGCTGGCCGGAGCGAGCGCCCCGCTGGCGCGGAGACCCGGCACTCGCGCCCCGGAGCGCTGCGGTGGCGGAGCGCGTCTCGCTTGCGCTAACAGACGTTACACGCAACACCAACGATCATGCCCACCCCGCGGCCCCAGCACATGCTGCCCCTCGCCAAACGGGACCCCTTCCTGCAACTCCCAGTCCCGCTTCTCCTCCGGGTTTACACCACTTCGAGTCGCTCTAGACAGACGCTGGTGGGAACAAGCAGCGCAAGCAGGTCATGAGCCTCTGCGCTTCGCAGCCCCAAATGCTTTCCTCAAGTGAGAGGCCTAAAGCAAAGGCTCCACCAGCCCCAGCTCACTCAGCGTGGAGGGAGTGTGGGCCCTGGCTAATTGGTGACACTCTTGAAGAGGTGACTTCCCAAATCTTTCGCAGCCCTGCATCAGGGGACTCGCAGATAGCGATCTAGAAAGCCAAGGATCCTACAACTTGCAGAAGAGTATCACATGGTTGATGTTTGGTGTGTGCCCAGGGATACTTTCAGCAACTGGCTCAGGCATGCTGCCAAGAGCCATGTTGGAGACCCCTTGCACCGCGCTAACAGTGACCACATGACATCGGACTTTTTCCCCGTGCGGACAGAAACGTGGGAGGGACCATATTTCAACAACAGTCTTGGAAACGCTGCAGAGATGCTACCGACCAGCAATTCTCAACCAGGGTCCTGCGTCACCCTGGGATGCAATGAAACCCTTTTGAGGGTGATGCAGGATATTGGGCAATATTAGCACTGTTAGAAGTGCAAACTCCTACACGATTCACACGATAAATCTAGAGATTTCAAATAGGAATCCATTGCGGCAACAACATTTTGCCCTGTTGTGGTCTAAGTTCTTTGCAATAGAAGAATTGTTTTATTATTTCTTCATAGTCAAAAAACTTGTGAAATCTAAGAGCTGGCATTTTCTGAAGGGAGCCCCGAGTCAAAGAGGGGTGCCACTGGCGTTGACATACCAAGAGCATGGCAAAACAGAGGATAATTAGGGAAGAATGCAGCTATCTCCTATTACTATTGCAGTAATTGAAGTAGGAGTAATTTTGCAGTAGCAAATAGTCATGGCCCAGAACCCTGTTATGTCAGCATGGTATTGACACAGGACCAAAAAAGACTATAAACCAGAAGTAGACAACCCCTGGCACATATGCCAGAGTGTGGCATACAAAGGCATTTTGCTTGACACTTGCGCCTTGGGGAAGGGACCAGGGCTGCGCTGCCAAAACAAGGATTGGGCCCCTCACAACTCCCCCACCATCCGCCCCCGGAACCAACATCTTACAAGTCGAGGTTGCGGGTGTTTCTGGCGCTTTGCCCAAAAACATTGCTGATCCCTGCTATAAATGGTGTGGGGCAGAGACAATCTAACTCACCAGGTGTTAGAAACCATGGCTAAAAACAGAAACATAGTTGAACAGAACCAGAAGTTCTCTATAGTCTTTAGATCAAAGAGAAAATCTTATTCAAGTAAAATAAGGAAACAGCAAGACCAAGGGATCTTTCCTTCAGAGTGAAAGGAGTCATGAATGAGTCCATGGAAAACAAAACCCTTCACCAGTGCAAATGAAATGAGCATCACCCTTATGGGAAATGCACCAGGAAGCAAGAGGAGAATCCAGCTCTGTGTTCCCATGATTGGACACAGTTGTACAAAGACATATAGGGCCAGATCCCAGTCATTTGGTAGCACAGTCCCCAGCTGGCTGAATGCCTCTATTTGACCTGTGAGGCCCGTAAGGACAACATCACCAGAAATATCCATCCACCCATTCATTGCAGCCATCTCATGTTAACCGATCCTCCCAACTGTACATGCTTTCCCTGCCAAAGGTCTCTAAATAGGCCATGACACACCTGAACAGCATGGCAGTGCTCATGTCAGTACAAACACCATTCCCCAGATGAATCTGTGATCCTCAATGTAGCCAGGAGACCAGAACATGCCAGGTGGCCGCCTCATGGAGCACTGTGAAGAGGTAGGGCCTCCTGCAGCTGGCCTTGACTTGCAGTGCTCCAGGAACTCAAACAGCAGAGCACTGCAGGGACAGACTGAACAGGACTGTGATTCATGGGGCACTCCACCCTCGTCCCTGGGATTAATTCACTTACCCTGGTGCAAGAGGAGCTGCGGTCACAGTGCACAAGACAGGAAGGAAGAATTGGGCATGTTGTAGGCTACAAGCCCAAGTGCAAGCTTTACTCACCAGAGTAGTAATCTCTACTCACTTGAGCAGAGTCTGCAGGCCAAGCCCAAGGTGCTTACTTACCTGTTCAGAGTGAGTTTTCCCTGAGTAAAGACCTCAGGGTTTAACTCATTCACTTAAGGTTTACTTGCACAAGTAAAGGTTGTAGGGCCGTAGAAGGCTTTTTCCTTCTTTACAAACCTCAGAACACTTCCTTCTGCTCTGCCTAGCCTCAAATAGTATGCGTCTCCTTTCAGAGTCATGCCTTACACTGCATGCTTCCTCACTTCAACGTAATTGAGATAAATGATTCACCTCAGAGACTGTAAAGTGCAAGACTGCAGTTTTAGAGTAGGGGCCAAATTCTGCTGTCTGTTACACTACTGCAAATCTGGAGTAGATTACTTCAAGGATGCCGTTCCAGATTAACATTAGGGAAAAAGGTCAACACTTCATCTAGGCCCAGATGGCTTGGGTGAGTCTGTGGCTCATGACTCCCTACCCCAAGTAACAAGGTTCCCATTTACAGCTGGGTCAACATGAGGCTTTTAGCCTGAATCTAGTGGAAGGCTTAGATTCATGACTCTGGACTTACAGCAAGATACCTGAACTGCTCTGCCACTGGGCCCCATATGAGGGAAGAGTAGGGTTGAATGCAGCCCAGTGCTACTTGTGCTAAGGAAACAAAGGGCACCTATACATGTGATGGACATCTGCTCCATCATGTGCTGATTAACACACGTCAGAGCAGACTCAATAAATCAGGGCAGCTGCGAGCCTGCTGGAGCACGCTAATTAGTGTGCTCCAGCAGCCTCTGTGTCACTGCATTTCAAAATGGTGGCCAGAGCACTTTAATTAAAGCTTGTTCAAAGTGTTAAAGCATGGGATGCTGAATACACATGACGCTGCAGGTACGTTAATTAAAGCACCCCCCACCATTCCTGGAGCATGTGTATAGATGCCCAAATTTTTTATATTGCTTAGATTAGTTCTGCTTCACAAGTACAGTTAGTAAGTGAAGGACAGACATAAGAAGCATGTTACAGGTATGCACAGTATACATTATGGATGGGTAGAAGCACATCAATAGAAGTTGTCATGGGATAACAAACAACTTTTGACCTCTATAATAATTAGCCATTTATTAAAAACACTAGTAATAATTGATTTATGAAAGTAGGACCTGTTAAGGTTAACCAAGCATATTCAGTTTCTAGGATGCTATGCAAGTGCCAGATGTTCACATGAACATCAAATGTTCCCTTCCTATTGTGCCCCTTGTTTGAACATGGGTTAGTTGAAAGGCAATAGGGCTTGCAATCAGAGCAAAGAACCCAGGTGTCCTGACTCAGGGTGTGTAGAGGTGCCGCTGTACTCTGTCTGCCTATGCTACTCACTCCTCTCTGCCAGCTGCTCCAGCTTCCTCTCATTTTCTTCCCCTCACCTCACGTTCTTGTTGTATCTTATTTCAGGAATTAGAGGACCTGATTCAGATGTCACCCACAGTAGGTGAGATATCCACTGAAGTCAAAGGAGTTACACTGATGTACATAGATGTGTTCATTGGCATGCAGGCTAAGGGAGTTTGTTTTATCCCAAGAGCTCTCAACCTTTTTCTTCCTGAGACCCACCCCAGCACACTATAAACACCCATGCCACCACAACTGCCTGGCTCCCCAGTGCTGCCGCACGGCCCCAGATGCAGCGAGTGGGGCTCAGCAGCAGGGAGCTCTGGGTCCCCACTCACCTGAGCAGTAGCAATGCAGGGCCTCACCCACCTGTTCACCCACAGGGCAAGATGGAGGCTGTGGGGCTGGGTGGGTCAGATCTGCTCCCCCCCTTCCTCCAGACTCACCCTGCACCAGGACAGACAGACCCCCTGAAACCTGCTGGTGGCCCCCTGGGGAACTGCTGATTTATCTGATACCCTCCTGCAAGTTGATTCTCCTGGCAACATCCACACCACATCCTGAATGCAAATCCATGCCAATTAAGTCACTACCACTCTCGCTCAGGTTCAGAGCAACTTGCACTTGACACACAAGTAACTTGCTCCACTGTTTAGGTCACAGCTGATTTCCTCCCTACAGAGTGGACACTTTATTTTCAGAAATCCAAGTGACTGGATGTAGCAAACAGAAGCTCCATCCAGGCTTAAGAAGTGGCTTTTTCTGCAAATTTAACATCTTCATAGCATCTTATGAAGTAAGCCACTGCTTACAAAAGCTTATATCTCAGATTTGATTAGTTTACAAGGTGCAGATTTATCCTGCCTTCTCCAAATTAAGCCATATAGCATTTTACTAACAGCAGCCTCCAGCAGGGCAGGCTGAGCCAGGATCCAGTTTCACAAGCACGGAACGGGTACAGGGGGCTCTGATCCCCCACTGAAACCGGCAAGAGCAGATACTGATTTCAGCCAGTTTCCTCCTGATTTTATACTGGGACAAGACAAGACAGCTCCTGGCAGTCCCTCAGGCTCACTAGTACCATGAAGAGCTATTGGGTTTCTTTGCAACCATGAGCCTGGATTTAACGAAGTACTTAATGTACCTAATCAAACTGTGAGCCAGTGGCTAAGGTGCTCCTGCGCTTTAAGTTAGGCATGTGCTTACATGCCTTTCTTAATCAGAGCCTAGGAAGTATTT